ATTTACCATTTTTCTTTAATATTGGTCAACTTTCAATTATATCAGTAATTCTCTATTGTTCCATTGATATCAATAACCTGACAACAAAAGAATTTATATTATGACTTACAAGATGTATGACATCACCTTCTTACTACGTCAAATTGATAGAAGTAGTATGCAAATAACCATCAATAATATAAGAACTTTTGGAAGGGTGATCTAGTATTATTCAATGCCAACTTACCACTTTCTACATCAACCTAAATTCGTAAACTAACATGTTGGTGGCTAAGACCTTTCCAAAATTCTGCAGTGATTTTTGATGTTGCATACTACCTCAAGTTTTTGCCACATATTTGGGTCCATCAAGTCTTCATACCAAGGCAAAGTGCTTTCCAGATCAATACAAACTACCACCACCATGACTAGTTGTAGTTGATCACTAAGAAGAATATGAAGTAGATAGCATTTTGGAGCATCGCTACCTTCATCGTGGCAGTGGATGTCCACAACTTTAGTACAATTTTTTTTGGAAAGGTTGTCTCATTCACAATGCAACATGAGAACTAGCACAAAATCTTACTTATTACCAAAAGACAATTTGGAGATATCATCAAGAGTGAAACGAAGACATTCCGAATTAATAGAGGAGAATTAACTATAACAAGGTATGGATAAGATAATTGTATAGATAGATAGAACCATGGAAGTTTTTAGAATCAGGGTTAGGTTAGTAGACTAGGTAGGATCAACTATAAAATATTCTAAAAAGAAATTAGATCAGTTATTTAGATGGGATCTATCATGGAACCTTCTAAAAAAAGGATTTAAGGTGGTTATTTAGATAGGACCTATCACTTAAGAACATTCTAGAAAGTCCTAAGTGATATGACAAGGTATAAATAGGACTAACAAAGGCCTTTTGGGACATCTGATCAAGTATAGCTTTGGATCCTTTCTTTTAGTAAAATTTGGTTTTGCATCTTTCTGTTTAATTTTTATTTTATTTTATTTTATTTCCATTTGCTTAATTTTGTCTTTTAGATCCTATTCTGTTTAGTTTTGTTCAATTTTATTTTGGTCTTTTTTATCTTATTTTGTGATGAGGCTTTATGTTGCTGTAAATTAAAAGGATCTTAGGTTTTTGAGATAGTCCGGTTCTATTTTATTTTTTATAATATGCCACTTTAAGCAAAAAAATATCTTAATTTCTTTAATCTTAGTAAGTTTTAGCTTTATTACCTTCTAAACACTGTTCTTTGTCTTCAAAGCAAATAAATAGCCATCATAATATTTCTAAGTATAAAAAAAAATATCAAAAATTCACATTAAAGTATTAAGATCTCTTGCTTAATTAAATGAAAAAACAATATTAAACCTTTAAAAGATTACAAGCAGCTATGATACTTATAAAATATGATTGAAATAGCTACAAATCTATTATAGAATAAATAATAATAAATTTTAATAATTATGGCTTTTTTCAAACATAGAAATAAATAATAAAATTAATAAAAATACTAATCAATTAAATTATCTTATAAATTTGTTTATTAATTTTGGTATAGTTTTAATTTTCTTTATAGGATTATAGTATTAGATGTTAATCTATGTAAATATTTTAATATGATTAAAGGAATAGACATAAGATTAATCAAAAAAAATTTAAAAAAAAATTTTTTAATAGTGATTTGTAATGAATTACTATCTGATAATGTAGTTAATTTAATAAGATAATTTCGGTAAAAAAAATTAATAAAAATAAAGAAATTTTCATTCTATTTGGAATAAAAAATATATATATATATATATATATATATATATATATATATGTATATAATTTTGTAATATAACAGATTAATTCTTTTCAGTCACTTTTGTTTCTTGTTCTTCTTTTAAAATTTTATTTTTTTTTTACTTTTTTTTTTAAAATATCAATTTCTAAATATATTGGTTAAACATGATTTTATAAAATTAAATATAAAAAATAAAATTTAAATAAGTTCATGTATATATATATATATATATATATATATATATATATATATTCTATTGTTATAATCTTATCAAATATACATCTATCTTAATAGTTTTACTATAACGGTTTGACTATAAATTAAGTTAATTTATTCAATTTTTCTTGTCATAATCAATTTGATAAAAACCTACTTAGTGTAAAGATTTAATATATAATTTTTTTCTTTATAATGATTTTATAATAATATATGTAATTAATCTTGTTTCTTCTATTCAAAATTATATTCAATAAAAGTCTTAAAATAACTTAGAAGATTATAGCTTTAATAGGTTTTACATATATTTATATTATTTTTTTTTAAATTATTGAAATAAAAATCTGAAATGAATATAATTTTTTCTTATCTTATTTATTTCTATCAAATTCTTTATAAGTTATTTATTAAGTTATAATCTTATTATATGATTAGAATCAATTTTTTATAATTTAATTTGAAGTTTCTCTCAAATAAATTCTTCAAGGAATAAGAAATGTAAGGTTTAGAACTTATTTTTATATCTTCTTACTAAAAAAATTTAAAGAATATCATTCTTCTATTATTGAATTTTAAATAACATAGATAGTTGCATTATGATGGTGGTTCTTGTGAACATTATTAAAAATTGGAAATAAATAGATTTTTTAGAAATAGTTGTTTTATTTTAATTTTTCTTTAAAGTTGAAGTAAAAAAATAGCAATTTAAATTTATAATAATATTATTGTTAATAAAATTATTAAATTTAATAAAATTATTATTATTATTATTATATTTTATTTATTATTCTTATATTTTATTTATATATTTTAATTTTTTTTTTAAATTATAAAAATATAAAGTTTTAATTTTTTTTAATAAAAATATAACCTACCTTTAATTGAAAAAAATGCTTAATGACCAAGTTAGAAACTTTAACTATATTCAAGAAATTTTATTGGCTTAAGAAATTTGATTGACTTAAAATACATCAATTTCAGTTATCTTCTATGCAAATTAATGATTTTTTTCAAAAAATAATTTAATTATATTTATTATAATATATTTTTAAAAAATTATAATCATTTTATTTTAAAATTTATCCTATAATTAATTTTTTCTATTTGAAATAAGAATTAAAAATCCATGCTATATATTTTAACCATATCTACTAAATTGTGCCTTGCAATTTCTTGAATTGTAATAGAATTTGGCTTTTTTGATGTTAATGGAAAGAAATCAATCTTTTTAAACTTTGTTGTTACATTATCTTTAAATAATAGTGGTGTAATTTAATAATTTATTTTTCTTATTTTAATTTTTTTCTTTTGATAATTAAAGAATTCAATAAAATTTAAATTTAAATTAATAAAATTTATTTATTTAGATAATTACACAAAATAAAAGTATCTTTTATTTTTATTCAATCTGTTTATTCAAAAAAAATAAAACCTTCTAAGTTCTTTCTTTTTCAATATCTCTTCTATATCAAAATGAAACAAAATTCCACTGGTTTCAGACTCCAGTTATAAATCTCCAGTAATCATGTAATTTTTTTAAAAAATCCACAATTTTTGTCACGTAAAATTCATAAAATCAACTTCCATCAATTTTTTTTAATTTTAATTTTAATTGTTTACCTACCTCCCCTGCTTGTATTATCTCTAAGGTTGTTTATTTGTTTATGTTCCTTTCTTTTTATCATGGACGCTGCAATTTATTTTGCTCAGTTACATACCTCTCACTCTCTCACATGTAAGACGTATGTGGCAAAAGCTCCTGAAGCGTTCCAAATCCTTTTTTATACAAAACTTTTATTTTTTAAACTTTCAACTTAGTTACCTGTTGATGAAAAGTATAGATTATGAACCTATTCTTTTTTAGTGGAACTGTTAATAAACATCTCAAATAAGAGAATGTTACATATTTGAATGTTATTGGGTTTTACTAAAGTTTGATGTCCTACAACCCTACAACAATACTATGATGTTTAATTATCCATTTGTTTTATATTTTTTTAGAGTGACCTTTGGTTAATATTTATCTTCAACAAACAAACTTGTGCAAATCTACTCTCAATTTTTTTTTAATCATCCCTTGTACATCCAATCTCTTACAGTAAGACCTTGCATATGAATCATTTGAACCAGTGTAATGACAAAAGCTCTAAGAGAGGAACATGGTCAAATTAACCACTTCATGCTTACTTTAAGACAGTCATTGTTGACTATATATATTAACATGTATAATAACTATTATCCTATAATCAATTTGGACAAGAAAGCATATCTTCTGCCACAAGATTAGACACTATTATCAAGCTTGAGAAAGCAAAACACCCACCACCCATGAGAACCATTTACCCAATCCAGTTTATTACTAAACATGGGACTACAGAAGGGGGCTATCCTTTAATCATCCCAAGTATACTTTACCTTTTCAATGGCACTTTACTTTTCCCTTGCCCTGTACTGCACTGCTCTCACTACCACCAAATGTGAGGCGCCTAGCCAAAGCCTGCGATTGCTTTGCCAGGTCCCGTGCCCCCATCACCGCTTGCTTCTGGAACCTTCCCGCCTCTCCTGCTCACACTCCCGTGCTGTGACTCAGCTCTCTGACCCGGGCATAGGTCCCCCAAATAGAAGGACGCTCCCAATCATTTAACAGTAGTCACTGCGGGTCTGGCCATGACCGTGTCCTCTCCCTCCATGACCACGCGTGATATTTTACGTCCTTCCACGTCGCATTTTTATTTTCCGCCTCCATAGTTCATCCTTACGAGCGAGGATGAATTTATCGACGGAGATCATTCATCTACAGGCGGGTTCAACTCACCGTCAGTCCCAGCTGGAAAGCGATGAATTCTTTTACATGGTGGTCTTTCGATCGGTGTTGTCGTCGGTCATCCTCTTGGATGGAATTATGGAGGTGCTTTGCAACATATTTGGATGAATGTCTTCTTCTTCGTTGAATGTGGTCGGAGGAGACTTCGCTGTGTCTTCAGCCCGCTGAGACAAGACGAGGAAGTGGAAGACTTAGCTCATCGTTTGCTGGGCTCTGTGCGCGTCGGATTCTGGCTTTCCCCGTTGGTCCGGTCGCCTCATTTGCGGAAAGAGTTGCTCATTGAGCTGCGGCACGTGGTTTCATTTTGTTAAGGAGCTCTTGGTCGTCGCATTTGGTGCTGTGAAACTTGAGGTACGCGGTTTCTCGTAGTTGTGAGCCTCCTGATGTGGGCAGGTTTTGGACAATTGATAGTTTCGTTTCTGTTGCTGGTTTATTGTTGCTGAAGCTCCTGGGACGGGGATTTGGAGTGCAGTGTTAACTTTGGATCGCGTGGATCACTATAGGCGGTTGCGAAAGCGAACTTTTCGCGAGTTTTTTGTATTGTCGTTGGTGCGAAAGTCGTGTGCTGTGAGTTTAAGGATTGTATTCTTCTCAGCGTACGGAAGTGATCGGAGAGTAGTGACAGAATTTTGGTGTGTTACGTTCAGGAACAGAAATAACTAGTGCGGCAGTGGTAGTATTTCGCTGGCGATGTCGCGCGTTATTGATTTTCATGGGGTTTGAGCGCTGTAGTCTGCGTTTGCTATCGTCACCGCATCACTTGCTTCTCTCGTTGAATTCGTTGGGCCTGGCCTGTGCTGCTGCGAGGGATTCTTAGTCCATTTATTTGTTATGGATTTCGACGTCTCGCAATTTTTAAACAATCAAGCCATCGTTGGAATTGCAGCTCGGTACACGTAAAGAGGCTTGTGTAATATTTGTCTTGGTCTTACCTGCATGAGACGGTGCAATCTAGGTCTTCCAAATGGTCGGAATTTGGAGGTGGTTGGCTTGAGCCTTTCGTGACAGGGTATATCGGTTTTCCTCTGGGGCTGATAGAAGCTACATGCAATTGCTCTTTGACCCCGTATTGACCAGCACTGATTCCCCTCTCACTGTTTGGAACTATGTTTAGCTAGTGTTTGCGGGACCGGCAAGATTTCGTGAAACTGACCCTTCCTACGGCCATTGCGTGCAGATCATCTAATTTTTTGGTTCCTTACGAACAATTTCAGCTGGTATAATTTTATTTTTCTGGTGACGCGATTCGCGGAAGGTTACGGTGCGTCGCATCGAGAGTGCCAAATTTAAATACCAAGTTGACTGAAAGTATTCAAGATGGATAACAGCTTGATCGGCTTGGTTAATCGGATCCAACGAGCTTGCACGGTTCTTGGAGACTATGGTGGCGAGGGTGCAGTTGCAAGTCTTTGGGAATCTCTACCATCCGTTGCTGTGGTGGGGGGCCAGGTGTGTAACACTATTTCGTCTTAATTACACGCTCTATCCTGGTTCGGTTTGAGTGTGTCTTATTGCTGTCCGGCTCGTCATTGGACCACGAGGAACTCTATTTTTGGTTGGTTGAGTAAGGGTTGCCTTAAAGAGTAGTTGCGGAATTTTATTTTGTCTTCTTATTTTAAAATTTATTCATTTATTTTTGGTGGATGAGCGAGGGAAAGAGTACTTATTGAAGGACCTTCATGTTGATGACAGAATCTAATTGTTAGTATGATATCAGAACATATATCAACCGTGTTAACACACACTACGTGCACTAGTTTCACTGATAATATGATTTAGATTTTTAGGATGTCATTCCTCCTCATAATGCGTTTTAGTACTGGTTATTTATCCAATCTACAAATTAAAGACGATAGTAATACTAATAAGTTTTACGCTTTCTATTTGAACTTAACAGGGACAGCTCACATTAACAGTAGATATGCTGACTTGGTCAATGGTTCTTACAGAGTTCTGGGAAATCCTCGGTGCTAGAGAGTATTGTTGGCCGAGACTTCCTTCCCCGTGGTTCAGGTGATTCTCCTTTCCTGCGATCTGCCATTGGCAGCATAGTTTCTTTTACAAACCTTCTCCCTAGTAGTGGCTAATCACCCGATGCATACTTCCGATTCAGCACCTTAACAATACTTCGAGGAGTCTATTTGCAGAGAAGTAAATCCTGCTCTTGCCATAATTGACTGAGGAGTACGTGATTGTCTAACTGAACTTTTGATGTTAGGTATTGTGACACGGCGGCCACTTGTCCTGCAATTGCACAAGACGGACGACAAGTATGAGTATGCAGAGTTTCTCCATATGCCCAAGAAACGGTTTACTGACTTTGGTACGAGCGTCCCTCTTATTCCTTATCCATAAGACTGATTGACGTTCTTGTAAAAACTTTGAATTTCTGCCCTTTTTTTGAAGCACATTAGCGAATTCTAATGTTTTGTTCACGCTTCTAATAGTTCAAATACCATAACCTTTTCGTACTTTGCAGCTGCTGTCAGAAAAGAAATCTCGGATGAAACCGATCGGGTTACCGGCCGCTCCAAGCAGATCTCCCCTGTGCCAATTCATTTAAGTGTTTATTCCCCTAATGGTGAGCTTGCTCCTGTTTGGTTCGAAGAAGTTTCGTTTATGAATATCCATTTTTTTTTACTCGGTCTTCGGTTACTGTGACAGTTCAGCGATATTATTCCTCTCAGGATCATCGGAGATTTTAATTGTCGACCTTTTCCTTCTTTATTTTCAATGCGACACGTCTCCATACGATCGAGTACTTACGTCACTATGTTTTTGCAGTGGTGAACCTCACTCTTATCGATCTTCCGGGTCTGACCAAGATTGCTGTTGGTGAGCCATGCTTTCTAATGCCTACATGAAATCTGTAGTATTTTACACTATCTTATGGTTAACTGAAAATTAAAAATTATTGACATTTTTGTTTTGCCGCTTCTGCAGAGTTGGTACTTCAGATAGTTAATTTGTTGGAACTTATCTGTAACTTGAGCCCCTGTTTTGTTAATATCTTTTTATATTTTGTGAATGTCTCAGATGGACAATCCGATACCATTGTTACTGATATTGAGAACATGGTTCGGTCATACATTGAGAAGGTATCATGATCATACGCAAAGCTTTTGAAAACATCATTTCGGTCAGGAGAGTGCCATGCATGTTTGATAATTTATTCTATGTCCAACTGGTAGAGTTAGCTGCCTCACTCCCCATTTGTTTATTTTTCATCAGTCTTTCATTTATTTTATTATATTTTTATTTATGTATTTTTAAGTCACAAAATATTCATTAAAAATTGAACATGTCCCAAAGTAATTGATCAATAAAGATACCCATCACTTTCATCACTTCATACGATGATTTTAACTTGGAGATATAAGGCAAAGTGCAGTTGCAACAATTGACACTTTTGTTAAAACTAAATTTTTGACTGCAGCCAAACTGTATAATTCTCGCTGTATCGCCAGCTAATCAGGATATTGCGACATCAGATGCTATTAAGGTAGCAAGAGAGGTTGATCCACAAGGTAATTATGAGCTGTACGTTAGTAAAATGAACATTGAAAAGAATTTATGTTCCTTTTATCGTATATAGTTGTGGCGCTATACTGAAGTCATAGACTACGATGGGGAAACTGTTCTTAGCCTTGGTTTTTTGTGCAACGTTGAAGATTGTCTATCTTGCTATTCCTAGGATTTTCACCACTTTCTTGGGGGGTCTGTGGACTGTTCCTTCTTGCAGGTGAAAGAACTTTTGGTGTTCTGACCAAGTTGGACCTTATGGACAAGGGTACGAATGCTCTCGATGTAAGTACACATTTTTCTAGAATCTTACATGTTTCTAGTTTGAAGAGTTGACAATAGTACTTGGGCGCTCAGATGAGGGCCTTTTAGGAAGCAGTCAAGAAGATTCATGGAAATATTTGTGATTAATGAAGTGGTTACTTTTGAAAACTTTAGCCTTAATTTCAATGTTGTTACTCCCGGCTGGCGCATGTTTTGGGTCGCAAGCTCTTAGATTGATGGATTTGGATTGACTTCTAGTTATGAGTTCTTTGTGATGAGAAGATGGTCTTCGAGACGTAAAAGTTAAATATTAATGATCCGGCATCAACTTATATTCGTCTTAACGTGTTTTGTGTTTAATCGTGTGTGATCAGATGATGTTATGAATTTGTAATCGAACTTGGCCTTTTTATCCTTCTGCAGGTTTTAGAAGGGCGCTCTTACAGATTGGTACATCCATGGGTAGGAGTCGTCAATCGTTCTCAGCAAGACATCAACAAGAATGTAGATATGATTGCTGCAAGGCGCAGAGAACGAGAATACTTCCAAACTAGTGAAGATTACAGTCATCTGCAGAGCAAGATGGGCTCAGAATATCTGGGCAAGGTTCTTTCTAAGGTGTATCTCTTTTTCTTGACCTACTTTTTGTGACTGTTGTTCCTGTCTTGTTGTTTGTGGTGGGTGTGTACGCGTCAGTGAATGCGCTACTATATGAAGGTTTTTAATTGACTTCTTTTAATCTTGTTATGATGTGCTCTTGACCTTCAGTGTTTTATTGAGTATGCATAAAGATTTTTTTTTTTTTTTTTTTTTTTTTTTTTTGATGCGGGGTTTGGCTGCAGCATTTGGAAGCAGTGATCAAGGCTCGAATTCCTAGCATACTTGCTATGATTAACAAGATGATAGATGACATCGAATCAGAGTTGAACCAGATTGGTAGACCTCTTTCTAATGATGCAGGGGTAAGTGTGAAGTGCTCATTTGTATTTCATTTTTGTTTCAGTAACTTTTGTGAGGTTGTAAGAGGTTTAGAGGTGCTCTCAAAACTATCCTAGCATGAATATTACGAATGTTAAGGCATTGTCTGTTTTGGGAAGCTGAGACTATTGTTGATGTGCTGTTCAGGCTCAATTGTACACGGTTTTGGAGCTTTGCAGGGCTTTTGATCAAATCTTTAAGGAACATTTGGATGGATCGTAAGTGATTTAATTGTTCACTGATTTTTCTGGATTATTGCACTACAACAGAGAATAATTTCCCAAATACCATTTTACAAGCTTTCACAATTCAAATATTTAGACATTTAATCAATAAATTTATGTTGCACTTCAGACGACCAGGTGGAGAGAAAATCTACTTGATTTTTGATAATCAATTACCGGCGGCTTTGAAAAAACTTCCTCTTGAAAAGCACCTTTCCATGCAAAATGTGCGGAAGATTGTGTCAGAGGCTGATGGATACCAACCACATCTTATTGCACCTGAGCAAGGTTATAGGCGTTTGATTGAGAGTTCGATTATATACTTCCGCGGACCTGCTGAGGCAGTCGTTGATGCGGTGTGTGCCCATATCTCTATTTAACTAAAATGTTCCTGGACTAATTTTTATTGTGCATGGGCCAGAATCTTTTTGTGAGGTTTGATTATTTGTACTTCATACATTCAATTTTTTTTCTAGTGATACTTATAGTTTTCTAAAGTTATTTTTGAATGTACAGACACATTTTATTCTGAGGGATCTTGTACGAAGGTCGATTGGCGAGTGCATGGTAAGCTGCAACAAGATGGTTTCTATATCGGAGTCTTTGCTTGCCGTGCCCTCATTAGTCATGGTCTGGGCTGCAAATGTAAAGCTTTGAAAAAGTTATCACGTGAAGCTTGATAATATTTGAAATCATGTGTTCTTTCTGAGGATTTCGTGACAATATTTTGTAACCGGTCACACGCTTCTTAAATTTGACAGGAATTGAAGCGATTTCCAAGCCTTCAAGCAGAGATTGCCCAAGCGGCTATTGAGTCTCTTGAGAGGATGAGGGATGATAGTAAGAAGACTGCTTTGAGGTTAGTAGATATGGAGGCTAGCTACTTGACAGTTGATTTTTTCAGAAAACTTCCTCAAGAAATAGAGAAAGGAGGAAACCCTTCTGCGTCAACAATGGACCGTTACACAGATGGTCATTTACGACGAATTGGTGAGTAGTGTTCTTGGCTGTTCTTTGTAATACTGGCAGTTCTTTGTACAGTGCTAAGCAAGTCATATTTTGGGTCATGTGATAAGCTACTAGAGGTTATGGTTTAGAATTGTAAATCAGTAGTTATGTTTTTCTAGGACTGTGTCGGCCATTTGTGATTGTATAACCTTTGGAAGAATTTTCTTTTGAAGACGGTTCCTTGTGTGATGATATCTTTCAAAATTTTTGCTGTCCCTTAATTCATTTTAAACTAATGTTGCTTTGGTGCTCTTTTACAATTACTTTCAGGTGCAAATGTGTCGGCGTATATTAACATGGTTTGTGATACCCTGAGAAAATCTCTACCCAAAGCGGCTGTGCATTGTCAAGTTCGCGAGGCCAAGCGGTCTTTAATGGACCATTTTTATACTCAAATTGGCAAGCGAGAGGTAAACTTACTTTTCATGTAATGTCATTATTTTACTATGTGCGATATTGTTTTTAGGTAATACAAAGCATGCTCTTAATTTTTCCCATCGTTACCCGACATGTGTTCATTAATAGCTGTTCGAATAGCATGTTACTGAAAGAACCCTTCTTGGTGCATGTTATTTGCCTATTGTAGGTGTGGTTAAGCAATGTCTTAATCGTGTCCTCTGGTCTGACATGTAGGGAAAACAACTCTCGCAAATGCTGGATGAGGATCCTGCTTTGATGGAACGTAGAGTCCAGTTATCGAAGAGACTAGAGCTTTTCAAGCACGCCCGGGATGAGATTGATGCTGTGGTATGGGCAAAGTAAAGTCTAAATCTCAACGGTTCAATAACCAGTACAGTTTATCACATTTTATTGCAGCACAGTTTATTTTTATACTCAAATTGGCAAGCATTAAAATAGTGTTGTACTTGATGTTGAACTAAAGCAACAAACTGTGCTGCAACATTTGCGAGGGAAGCGGAGTGCACATTTATCAGAAGCTTTCATAGAAGAGTTGTGAAAGATCAAATATCAAGTCAGATCTAGTTAAGGTTATGTCTTGGCTTTTGTGCCAGACATTTGTAAAGTGGTAGGGCGGTTAGTGATTATTCCCAGGCTGAAAAATTAGATTCAATCATTAATTTTCCAATTGGATAGAACGCCAGTTTATGTTCTGCACGGAATTCAGTTCAAGAGCTTAGTACCTAATGAGGCTGAATAAATTCCTTGAATTTTTATTTTTTTGAACTATTTACTTTTTAAAGTAATCTATTTTCCATAAGTAGCCCTTGAGCTGCACAATACTTTCGCATTCCTTAAGGTTGGATTTCAATGAACAGTAGTAGTTGGATTCATATCTGGGGTGACCTCAAGATGTGTGGTTTCAGAAAGTGCTCCATCTTAAGCCATGATTTCTACAACTACGTAATGTCAATTGTTTAACTCTACGCCCCATATGAGTAGTATGTTATCCATCTCATGCTTGAGGTAATTCTTCCACTAACTGTGCCTTATGAAATTCTCATGTTCCTTGCGTGTTTTTAATCCCCCTCTTATCTTGTGTTCTCGTTTTTCTCAGCCAAAAGGTTGCTCTTACTCGGTTATTTTAAGTGGATCTGCAGAACATGAGGTAGGTCAGGACAGTATACCGTGTTAAGTTCAGCTTTTGTAATAGATGCGGGTTGAACATTTGGTCAGGTGGGTCAAAACTTTGGAATGATTCTAGTTCTACCAGTTCATGTTGGAACCCATTTTGTATAGAAGATGATTTCTTAGAGAGAATGTAAGTATTTATAAAATGGTTGATTTGATCTGATGTCGAGGGTAGCACACACGTAGCTTTAGTTCAACATCAAGTACAACACTATTTTAAAAAATTGGTCCTAGACATGTCAATATCCCATGTCAATACTTAAATCTATAAAAAAATTGCAATTATTCAGATTTTGAGATTTGTTCAATAACTTTGTTTAATGAATTTTTAATAATTACATAAAATAAAATTGTGGGTGGTATTAACTTACTAATATAATAGTTTATTGTAATATAAAAACCAATAGACACAAGTTTTAAAAGTTTTTGGCACTTGTTTCTATATCTAAAAAGCTATTCAATAGTTTATTAGTATAATCTTTAATTAAGATATCCAACAATATTTTTCTTTCTACCAAGACAACATTTACTTGTGCAATAAGTTGTTTTTAGCTCACTATTAAGGTTACAAGAATTACCAAATTTACTATAATTAGTATTAATTAAAAATGACTACTATTCACTTCTTTGGTGCAAATATTTAAATTAAAGCTTTGATACTTTATTAGTGATATCCAACATCTTACAATAGCATGTTTTAATTATCTTTGTAAAATTCTATTATCCTTATAGTATAAAATAGGAGCTATATAATACTTGAGCAAATTGTTGAAAAAAAAGTATAATTTTTTTTGGAAGTATACCATTTGTCATTGAGAAAGGATCTACATTTAAAACTATAAAGATCATATTGTGGAAGAAAACTCTTTCTCATTGGTGCAACCAAGATTTTAAAATAAATAAATAATATATATTTTTATTTATAAGAATCCAAGTATGAAGCGAGAGAGAGAGAAGTAAAACTTAAAGAAATAATTTTACTGAATAATTTTACTAAATAAAAAATTATTAATATAATTATATTGATAATATAAAAATAAGAAAGATAAAAAGATAAAAAATAATAATGATGAAAAATTATTTGTTATAAAAATAAAGAATTGATTAATTAATTAAATTGAGCAAAAAGACTATTATTACTTAATCAAATCCAACAAATTCATTCTTATTATTTAATCAAATCTATAAAAATATACTTTGGTTAGTAAATTAAATCCAATAAAGATACTCTTATATATATATATATATATATATATATATATATATATATATGATTAAAAAATTAAAAATTACTTTAAATATTACTTCCAAGTTATGATAGTTCTTTGGATGAGAGAGTGGTTTGTTGAGGGTGTGGTAGGTTGAATAGATTGCAACTTGAGTTTAAGTTTTTAAAAATAATATCCTTAAGTTTGAGTTGCTAATTATTTAAAGTATTTAGTTTTGTCTTACTTTTGTTGATAAAAATCTAAAAATATATTTGATACATTTTTTTAATTAAAAAATTAAATTTAAATAGATCTTATGTATAAATAGAAATTTTAATTGATTTTGTGAGGTATTTTTTTATTTTGAATCATTTATTTTCTTGAAAAATATGTTTTTGCTTAATGATGGTGACATGTGAAGAAACTAATACAGGCTTAGGTCTAGAAAGACTTCAAAATTACTATAAAGGTTAATAATTCTCATACCTTTGTTTTTTTTTTGTTTTGTTTTCTTATGGAAAGTTGGAGGTTTTAAGAGTGTGGTGACAAGTTAGTATGATGGTTACTACTAAATCTAGTAATTTTGGATACTGTTGTTAAAATTAATAAGTGTAGTAAATATAATTTGTAAATTTAAATTTGAATTGAAGAAAATTGTATGAGTATAGAAAAAATTAAGTTAAATAGAGAAATGAATTTTATTTGTGATTTCTTAATTTTTGGAATTAAAAAAGTGATAAGAAATAAGAGTATTTTAAATTTATTCTTATTAGAATTTGCAACAAAAACTCATATTGTAGTTCGTTGATTACATATAAGATATAACTTGGTTGAATGTCTTTTGAAATTTAAGTTGGTTTTTTTATTCAACCAAATTAAGATAGGTGCATTTGAAGATCTTCATATTATAATGTTGCATTTTTATTGTAAATATTTTAGAGAAAAATTGGCATATTGTTGAAAGATTTTTTTACTTATGTATCTAAATTTGTAAAGTAGATTTGTTTAGATAGAGGACATTTAAAGTTTAGGATTATGATTTAGAATTAATAAGGATTACATTGAAGTTGCAGAATAAAATTAGATTATTAAAATACATAAAAATATTAAATATTAGTTTTAAGTTTATTTAGAATTGAAGATTTAGTCTTGGAATTACAAATTTAATTTATAGAGTAGAAATTTGTATGCTTTGTAGATAAATGCATATAGAAGTTTTTTATGAATAATCTTGAAATAATAAAATAAATATAATTTTTAACTTTTTTCTAAGTAGTAATAAATTAAAAATAAATTATTTATTGCTAAATTATTATGATAAATTATTTAGAAATAATCAAGCAATATATATTCATGGTTTAGAGCCATTTATAAGTTTTTTTTTAATATCAAGGTCTTTAAGCGTCATGGATCAATATGATAATCATATTGACTAAATTCCCAAATAACTTATGCAATTACACAACTTTGATTTTTTTTGATGTAAGTAGGTATTCAAAATTGATATAATTAACAAATAATTAAGACATCATTACATCTTTGATTATTTTTTATATGTCAAGGCACTCAAGCTTGACATTAAATCAAATAAATTGGATAATTTTCCACCTTTCACTACTTTTGGTATCTTATAGTGGTCTTTTTTTAATATTAATTTTGATTGAATTGGAAAATTTTATATTTTTTATTATTTTTTACAGGTGGAGGTAATAAAGCTTGACATCATTTTCAAATAAATTATGCAATCTCACATTTTTAACTACCATTGTTAAATTAATTGGAACAATGACTTCAAACTTCCATTATCAACAATTTCAAGCACCATCTTTGATTTTTGAGTAACTTCAACTTATAGTTTGTACTAAATTTAACTTCCAATTCTCTTATCTTTTATTTTTTTTTATTTTTTTAACTTAAAAATTATTTAAGATTTACAAAGTGTAATGGTTTAGTAGATTTATTGATTTTTTTCTATCATTTTATTATTATATTGGTAATAAATCTTAATTATGTTATATTTTGTCTTAAAATATATATTGTTAGAGATACTTAATTGATTTATAGAAGTAATTGATTTCTAACAATGCCATATTGTCACAGACATACTCATGTAAGCTAATATTTATATATATAAATAGGTAGAAGTAAGTAAAAGTAAATAAAAGTAAGTTAATTCTATAGTATTTGATATGGAAGCTTCATAGAAGCTTTATAGACGCTGCTTTGACTTTTTAGGTGTCTTTAATTGACTTTTTGGATTAGAAACGTGGTCAAAAAGTTGGCCATGTGCCACACATGTTGTTAGCTTGAAGACCAAGCTAACAATGTGGCCCTCATGTAGAAAAACTTGCCTTGTAAGTCAAGGCATGTGTCCTACAAGTCAATACATATTGGAGGTCCTATAGAACGTCGCCACATAGCCCCTACTTAGATAGTATATATAGAGACAAGAATGAAGCCTTCTTCACTCTTGTCAACTCCTTTCTTCTTTCCAGTCTAGTTTCAAGAGTCTTCATGTTTTCTAGTCTTTGGCAATAGCCATTCCAGTTTCTATTTGAATATACATACTTGTTACCTTTCTTTGAGTGAAGGCTTATTTGTCTGAATTACTTTTTCATCGAGTTCTTGTCCTTGATAGATTGACAAGATTACACTTACAATATCAGAGCTTTATCTTTTCTTGATTAAGAGTGGATTATCTCTTTTTCTTAATAAGACATAAGCGTATTAAGAGTTGCGGATTACCCTCTTTTAAACTGATATTGTTTTTAGTATTTTCTTTGTTCTCAAGTCCGTTCTCTTATTTGTCTTGAGCAATATTAGATATTTTTTTTTCTAGGTGTTACCATGGCAGAGCATGTCAAATTGAAGAGTGCAATGACACAAATGCAAGAACAACTGAGGTAATTAATGCTTGTGATGCATCAACTTAATTCACCACCAGAAGTAAGAACAAGAATAATAGAAAGTCGAGATGTAGATATGGTCAGAGTTGCCTCAACATCTACATCAAATCATGCCCCTTTTTCCATCGTGGAACACCATTCAAATGCTAGAGAACTAAGAATTACCTAACTCGAGAAATTTGATGGTACAAGATCAAAGTTTTGAGGATTCATCAATCAAGTACAATTGAAAATCGAACTTCAACTCCAAAGCTATCCAACTCCAGAATCACAAGTCAGGTTTATTAGAACACTACTTTTCGGTTCTGCATTATGATGGTTTTCATCTTTTCTTGAATGACAAGATCTAATATTGGATAATTTAGAAGCTTTTTTGGTGGAATTTTGATCTATGTATGGAGAACATGATACAGTTCATATTGCAAAAAATAAGATCTATATCTTGCGACAAGAAAATCGATCTGTAACAACATATGCTTCACTATTTCAACAACTTGTGATTAATACCAAGTGAGATGATGCTGCAGTCATTAGCTA